GCGAGGGCGCCCCATTGGCCGCGTAGGGCCACTGCTGGTGGGCGCCGTGCGCCCCGTCCATCAGCAGCGTGACGAGCTCGCGCCCCTCCTTGTCCATCATGTAGCTGGAGTCGTTCCACAGGCACTCGTTGGCGTCCTCCTCCAGCTCCAGCGCGTTGTTCTCCTGGATGCTCGGCAACGTCGCCACCGAGATCTGCCCTGGAAGTTAAGTGAGTGAGTGAGCGAGCTCGGGCCTGAGGGCGACTACTCGACTGGTACCTGGGGTGGGCGCGTCCAGGCGCCTCCAGTGCTCGCGCAGCTCGTCGGAGGAGAGGCTGAGGCTCCAGTCCTCCAGCTCGGCGCGGTCGTACTCCAGCTCGAGCACGTCCTTGGGCGCGTCGTCCAGGCGCAGCCACTGCTGGATGTACTCGGCGTCCCACGCGGTGCACTCCAGCCGCTCCTCGGGCGTCCCTAGAAGCGCGCCCGGTTAGCTCCAGTGAGGGCGCCTGGGCGCGAACCTACCCCAGAGCGCGCTGGAGGCGCGCGCGCGCCTCAGCGGGTTCAGCCGCTTCTCCGTCAGGTCCAGCAGGAAGATGGAGGGGCTGCTGGAGAGCGGCGACGCCCACGCGCAACTGGGGGTGGGCGCCGCCGTGATCTTCAAGCAGAGGTGGGAGTCCGAGAGGCTGCGCATCACGCTCTGGAACGGCAGCATGTCCCTGCAGGGCGGGAAGCTGTTCCTGCGAACCAAGCCGCGTTAGTTTGGGTTAGTGTGAGTTCGGGGGGGCGGGGCCCTACCGTTGCTTGAGGCTGAGCAGGTCGAGCGGAATGTAGAGGACGTCGGGGCGCGCCGACAAATCGGTGGACAGATCGGTTTCGTCGCTCGCCTCCTTCAGGTCCTCCAGGCTGCGATGCGGCAACGTGGCGTCGTTGGAGGTGCGCGTCATGTCCGCCTGCACATCGGACGACATGGTGGAGTAGCCCTCGTCGCGGTTGCCGCTCTCGGGCGACTCGTCCTCGCTGCGCGAGCTCGACTGCGCCAGCACGGGGCGGGCGCGGCGCAGCCGCCCCGCCAGCTGCAGGTTGAGGGACATGGGGCGCGCGGGCGGCACCCACAGCGCCGAGTCGACGGCGCCCAGCGCCTCCAGCAGCCGCTTGGGCGTCACGTCGCCGCCCCGCAACTCGGTCCACAGCTGCGTCAGCATCTGGTGCCGCTTCTTGTCCGCCAGGGAGAAGCGCGCGTCGCCCGCCAGCACCAGTTTATCACAATTGTCCTCCACATCCGAGTTGAGCGAGGTGCAGAGCTGCGCCGCAGGCCCCGACTCCTGATCGGGCGGCTCCTCGCGCAGCTGATGCATCAGCATCGAGGTGAGCGCGCGGTTCTGCGCCTCCAGTTCCTCGATGCGCCCATTCAGGCACCCCACCTCCTCTCTGAGGCCCTTCTGCGCCAGCAGCGCCTTCACCACCTGATTGGCCACGTCGTCCAAGCAGCGCTCGTATTGGCGCGTGCTGCGCAGCGCCGCCGCGTGCGCCTGCAGCACGCCCTCGGTGGGCGCGCCCCGGCCCGCCTCCTCCAGCCGCTGTCTCAGCCCGGTTATTTCCAAGTTCAGCCGCGAGATGGTGCTCTGGTACTGCTGGCAGCGGTTCTGCAACAGCGCATTCAGTAAAAACGTCACCCACGAGACGCGCTCACCTCAAAGGCCACAGTCAACGCGGCCTTCTCCTGCCGCAACTGCTCCGCCTGCTTCTTAAAGGCCAACATGGCCCTGACGGTCTCCTCCATTCTGCGCAGACAACAACGGAGGTTTAGTAGCGGCCCCAAACCGGTGGAGCGGAAAACAGACTCACCTGGCAAACTCCTGCGTGAGCAGCTTGAGGCGCGAGCGGCAGCACGCCGCCTCCTGAGCCGCCTGCCTGGCGCGCGAGTCGCTGTCGATGCGCAGCCTGCGCTCACGGTCCGCATCCCGCTGCGCCGAATCTCGCTGCAAGCAAAACAGCACATTGACACCACGAAAACACGTTCAGTCGCATCGCAGGCGACGCGGAACAAAGACGCGGCCAATCGATAAGGACGCCGTCTTCCCCCCGATTGATTTGGGCCCGCCGGCGGGCGAAAACTCCCCCACCGGTGCGCTTTAATGGTGCAACCGACGCGTTACACCATTACTCACGTGGCCAACGTGCAACTGCCAGCCGTCGCCCTAACGACCAACCAAAACACGCTCGGGGGGGCCCCCAACTAACGACCAGCTTCGGACTACTTACGTGGGGCGCCGTCCTGGTGAGAGTGGCGCCCATTCATGAGGCCCCAAAACACTTTCACTTTGACACTGACACAACATGCGCCCTTCGCGTGCAAACACCCTCTGGAGCAGGGCCCTTCCAAACAATCGGCGGGGGGTTGGAGTGCGCCTGTGCGCCGCCCCCCCAGGCCGTCGCCCCTCGCTTACAGCTGATACGCGCCAGTCTACAGGGTGTCTGTCTGGCGTCCACTCAAATCTGACACTTCCTGTCAAAGGGGGGAGCGCGTTGGTTGCACCATGGCAGCGGGGAATTTTCGCACGATCGATCACTTTCGCTTTCAATGGGGGCGTCGCGGCGCCCGAACTCTGACCTCGAGGTCAACGCGCCTCTCCGCAGTGAAAGCGCGTTTCGCGGCCCCAACCTCGAATTAACCCAAAAAAATGACGTCACTCACCCGGCTCAGCTGCTTGCTCAGCTTGCTGATCGTTTGGCGGTCGCGCAGCTCCCCCTTCTGAGCCGCCTCCAGCGCCAACTCCAGTTCGACAATGCGCCCCTCCAAGTAGGTCTGCGAAAACAAACGAACATCTGTCAAAAACAGCGCTAAGTCGCCGGTGGAGGGGGGACAGGGTGCACTACCGGGCCTGTCAACTAAGTGTCACAGCTGCCATTCAATCATTCAAAGGGGATCAAACACCGCCAATCTCCCCCCTGCCTTTTATGCTGCTCTTTATCTCCAATCGGATGATGATGGTCAGCTTACGCACCCTCCTGGGGGGATTTGGAGGGGGACTGAAGCGCCGTTGCCGAGTTAACCGCGTTTTCTCTACCGTTCAAACGCGAAAAAGAAAATTGTGGGCTTTTCCAATTGGGAAATTTTTAATTTTCCAGATCCGTCGCGGATTAACAGTTAGGCGATTTTGTCCCTATTTCGGCACTTGGCGAATGGCCCCGGTATTGGAGCGAGAGCCTCCAGGGGCCGCTCGCCCATGCGCCCGACAAGGACAGCCTGCCAGGTGTTGAAGGCCGTTGCCGTGAGAGCGGCTGGAGTTTTTGCACAACGCGCCCATACCGGGGCGGGCGGAAAAGAATCGGCGTTAAACCGGGGCCCTTTTCCAGTGAGTAAACTTAAATAGTTGTTTTCGATACAAGGGCGAAAAATGTCGTTTTTCGCACGACGACGAGTTCGAAAAACAAATTTTCGCCCTCGTATCGAACACTATTTTTTATTCGAATGAAAGATTACACGAATAATAAAATGCATCGATTAATTAAGTTTAAGTACTTTTTCAACTTGAAACACCTGTGGTCTTGGGATGGTGTATGCATGTAGCATACTCTGCATGACATTTGCGCTTCTTAAAAAGATCGTGTTTTACGTGTGACAACATCGCAAAAGTAGATAAGTAGGCCATTAAAACGATTATGAGACTGAACTTGTAACAAAGGTATAAATTGCAAATTGTAAGTAAACTTGAAAATAGGATCAATAGCTGTTGATAAACCTACGTAATTCCTTAAAAAAGCATTTCGGTTATTTTTAAATAAAAATACTAAAAAATATATAATGACAGTGGCAAGTTCAAAGTGTCACATTTAAGTCCGTGCGTAAAAGTAAAACAAATGAACGCTAAAGCAAAGTGCTTCTTTTTGATCATCGCTTCTGTTCGCAAAATGGCACTTTTTGAATCATTCGAATAAAAAAAAATTGTAACATTTTGTGGCGCCACCTACCTGGACACGCGCCAAATCCTCCTGCTCGTCAGTCTGCAGGCCGCGGGTGACCCGCGCGGGGGGCGCCTCCGCCTCCTGGCGCACGAACTGAATGCGCCCCGCCTCGACGCAGATGTTGGGCGCTAGAGGGAGACACCTGCAACCCAAACCGACTTTCTCACACTCGAGTTCCCCATCAGGGGCGCCTGCGTACCTGGGGGGCGGTGGGGGCGGCGTGTCGCCGTCTTTCTCGTAGCCCACCAGATGGCGCGCGTCCAGCACGGGATGCACCTGGTGGGTCGAACGCGGCCTGTCAGGCTCCTGGCTGGACTCGGACGCGATTCGGGCACTTCCGCTGGTCCTGAAACAACAAGAAACCGGTGAAACCGTGGCAACGCCGCAACTGATGAGCGCTGAAACAATGGCACGTACGGCCCATTTGATCGGGAAATTGACGGCAATCCATCAAAGCACAGCTGCAGCAAGCATTCCAGCAGGTTGCCGACCTTTTTGCGCCCTTACGCCAATTGGCGCGTTGCCAAACTGTTTTGGCCAGCGCACACTATTTTCGGTTGATGCGGCCGCTATTTATGTGTCACCCAGAATGCCAATGCGGGTCTTCGGCCTCTAATTGGTCCAGTTCGCGCGGAAGTGCGCAGCAGCTGGCAACCGGTTCCGGTTCGCTGGTGCCGCGTCCGCTCCACCTGCCACACCGTTGCCGGATTGCCGACATTGCTCCATTGTACCGACCAGTGGGAAGCACTTTCCAAACCGGCCCGGTATTGGAGCGAGAGCCGCCAGCAACCGCCTGCCAGTGCACCTGACAAGGACACCGAGTGAGGGGTTGAGTGGCGTTGCCGGGGAAACGGCGGCGAGTTTTCGCATCGGCGCCAAATACCGGGGCCAGTTGGAAACAGCGCCGCTGGCCTCAATGCGCGGCGAAGTGTGGGTCAGTGAACTGCATTGGGGCCTTGTTGCCAGACAGCGTGACGCCTCCGCTAAGCTGCGCTTTACGTAATGCCAGCAAGCAGGAAAATCGGCTAAATGAGCGAATAAATAAACACTGGAAAAATGGGGTGCTCCCAGCTGCAGCCACCTGCCGTTTCCGGTCATGCAGGCGGGCCATTGACACTTGACATTTCGGGGGGGCGCAGCCCCACAGCCTTGCACGTAAAGTGACAAACGTCAACTTTGGATGGATGGAGGCTGGATGCCGACCCCCCACCCGCACGGCACTCAGAGAAAATCAATAGCGCAGCCAAGCAACAGCTGACAGCTGAGTGCTGAGCGCTTGGCGCTCAGCCGCTCGCAATCGATAGCGGATTTGCGGCCTTTTGCACACAAAGAGCCGCTGCGCGACTAAAAATAGTGGAACTTGGCCTACCTTTTCGGCTTCCAGCGACGCTTGAACACGCCGAGCATGTCAGCGACAGCACAAAACCACTCAGCACTCAGCGCACATTGAACTGCTCACATCAGCGGAGCGCCACATCGACCCTGTGGGGCTCCGGACCACGAAACTGATCACTCAAACAACAAACGCCGCTGAACTGACTGACAGCACAGGAAACAGTCGACTGGCGCAAAAGTCACGTCTCAGACGCTCACGTGACCGGCATCGGGCGCTCCGATTGGGCGCAGGCGAGCCGCTGCGGCCATAGGCGTGCGCGACAACAGCTGCGATAGCAGGCGGCGTTGCCGCCGCCCGGTCAAATCACCGAAAGGGGGGAAAATCGCCGATTTAATCAGTAGTCATCAGTACAGTTTTTGTTTTTCGGGAGCGTGAGGCGCTCGGGGTCCAGGCGGTTCTGGGCGAGGGTCTGGTAGATGTGGGCGCGCAGCCCCACCCCGATCTCCTTGGAGCGCGCCCACACCCAGATCAGGTCGGTGTGGAACAGGTGGAAGTTCGAGCAGGAGTAGAGCAGGGCGTAGCTGGTGTAGTCGGTGCTCAGCACCTGGTAGTAGCCGGCGCCCGGCAGGTACCGGTTGAGCAGCTTGGGCAGGCGGCTGGACACCCGGTAGAGCAGCAGGCTGGCGTCCCGCTTAGTGGGCGTGGCCGTGCCCTCACTAATCGAGAAAATCCCCGACCTGCAACGTGGCCGTGGACGAAATGGCGGATGCGCCCCCATTCAACATTTCACTGGCGTGGACTTACACGCGACTCCTGGAGCTGACGTAGACCTCCAACTGGTCGGGGCGCTTCTGCTCGACCTCCACGCTGACGCAGCTGGCCACCAGCTCCATCAGGTAGAAGGAGCGCTCGATTTCGTACCATTTGCCGCTGAACTGCAACCGCAACCCTTAAGTGCGCCCACATTTCAGTCGCCCAGGGAGCAGAACTTACCCGGCTGATGTTGAACTGGGGCATGTACCCCAGGCGGGGGCAGCCGCCCAGGCCGTAGCCCCAGCCCGCCCCGGCCAGGGCCCCTAAAACCACCAGACACACCATGGAGACCATTCTGCGAGCAATCGACGCGTAGCTTTGACCGGACTTTTAACACTTTGCCGAGGAATCGATGCATTCAATTAGCATTAATGTGCGCCGGTGGACTTTGTCCCGCCCGGGAACGCCGCAAGTTGGGGTCAGGATCTGGGGCGCAGCCCCCCGAGCCCGCCCAGGCCCCCGCCGAGCCCCCAAGGGAGCGGGCAGAGGGCCCCACGGCCCCCGCTTCGGGGGGCGAAGGATTCAAGGCCGCATTAGCTATGCGGGGGGTCACAGCACGTGGTGCCCCCGCATGCGAATTAGCGCTGGCTTGAGGGAGCGAGAGCGCGATACCGCCAGCGCTTGGGGCGCGTGCTGGAGGTATCGCTGTCGCACTCTAAACGGTTATTTTTCAAAAATATTGGGAAATATTTCTATAACTCAACATGGCCAGTTTTTCTGCGCTGGGCTGAAAAAGGGAAGCCGGCCAAGTGCGCCCCGTAACGGGATCTCCGGTGAAACCCGGGCGCGTCACGCGATACGCCCCGATCGAGCTTCCTTCCTGTTCATCGCGCAGCTAATCCGGCCCCGATATTCGGTTACCTGGGCACGGCACTGCTCGGGCCGCCTTGCTGCGCAGCTGAGATTAGGGCGCTGCGGCGCCCCCTCCGCCTGTAACGCGCCGCTAACGCTAATCGGCCACGTGAACCGGCGCCAAGGCCATCCGCGCTTCGGCCGGGGGCGCGAGCGCTCCCTAATGGGATGCGCGCTAAAAAAGTGAGCGCCTCGAGTCCACGTTTCAACAATTACTGTTGAAAAAACGGGTCGATTGCCATCAGTACGCGAGTACCCGCGCTCAGGCAGGTTCCCATTTGGCTCACCCGGTAGCTCAGTTGACAGGCATTGTCATTGGTGTCATGGCGACGTGGTTGGTGCTGTTGCTGTGGGCAACCGTGCGGCGCCCGCTCTGTGTGGACGGTGGTTGCGCAGCGGCGCCAGAGAGGGCGCAGCTGCAGTGCAGCGGCGTGGACGCCGCCTACTTCCAGAGGCTGCGCCCCAACGCCACCCACTGGATCCGCTGCGTCGAGTGTGCGCTGCCGGTGATCGATGCGCGCACTTTTCCGTATGCGCGCAACAGCCTCAGCTACCTGGAGCTGGGGCGCAGCCGCACCGTGAGCCTGCGCAAACGGGCCTTCGGCAGCCTCTACCTGCTCAAGGGGCTGAGCCTGCGCGGCAACCGCGTCGAGTACCTGGAGCCGCAGTGCTTTGACGGGCTGCAGCGGCTGCTGCAGCTGGACCTCAGCCTCAACTGTCTGCAGCAGTTGGGCGCCGGCGCGTTCGCAGAGCTGCGCGGCCTCGACCTGCTCAACCTGAGCAGGAACCAGCTGGCAACGCTGCATCTGCAGGCCTTCGCCGGCCTGGACCGCCTCCAGTACCTCTATCTGAACCACAATGCGCTGCGGCGCCTGCAGGAGCGCAGCTTCCGGCCGCTGGCCAGCCTCAAGATCCTCTATGTGGAGCACAACGGGCTGCTGGAGATCCACCAGAACGCCTTTGTGGGCCTGGCCAAGCTGCAGTACCTCTATCTGAACAACAACAGCATCGACTTCCTGGTGCAGTACAATTTCCGGCCGCTGGCCGGCCTGCTCGAGCTGCAGCTGCGCAGCAATCGGCTGCGCGAGGTGCAGGTGAGCGCGTTCAACGGGCTGCGCAGCCTGCGCGTGCTCCATCTGGCGGACAACCAGATCGCGCACATCAAGCCCTACGGTTTCATCGGGTTGGACGCGCTGCGCGTGCTCGACTTGGTGCGCAACCGCTTGCGGCAGGTGGCGCTGGCGCACTTCGACAAAATGGCCCACCTGCACGTGCTGTGGCTCAATGACAACCCGATCGCCCAACTGCTGTTTAGTGCGCACGACGAGCCGCTAGAGGCCGTGGAAGTGCTGGACCTCAGTGGCAGCGGCTTGCGCGTCTTCGACCACGCCCACCTCCATCGCAACATGCCCCACCTCAAAGAGCTGGTGCTCGCCAACTGCTCGTTGGAGTGCGAGTTTTTCGCGCGCATGCTCGCCTACTACAGCGCAGCCAACGTCACTGTCTGCCTGACAGCAGGTTGCAGCCCCGATGACAGCCCCGCCTACGCCAAAGACGTCTGCACGCGCCCCGAGCCGGGCCCCNTCCGCCCCTCCCCCTGGCCGTGTGCGTCGCGCTGCTCCTCACCGCCGCCTTTTAGCCCCACCACTCCCCTGTCACTCCATCTACCTCACTCGCGTTGTTTTTGTTGTGTTTTACCTGATGCTTACGCAATTAAATCAACCAAACCTTTGGCAACAATGCAGTTTGATTAACCCGGCAGACCTGCCAGTCAGTTGTCATTCAGACGTCGCTAGCAAAATGGACGGATGCGCAGCGCCGCCGGGCTCAGCCGCCGAGGGGATGGAGGGGCGCAACATCGACCTTGACTTCGGGCGCGTGGAGATCTTCCGCGAACGCACCCGATTGGTCACGTTCATGCGCCCGATGACGCAGGTAAGTGCGCGAACGCCCCGCCGCCCCCCACCCACCTTTGCTGTGCCTTTGCAGGAACTCATCAGCTACTCGATCACGCGCAGTGCGCCCACCGACCTGGTCAGGCGCAACTTCGCGCTGGACCACCGCCAGGGGGTGCTGGCGCCCGCGCAGGACTTCCGGCTGCTGGTGACGTACCAGCCGATCATGCGCAGCGGCCGCGACCTTGAAGTGTTCGACTACACCGACAGCGACGGCGAGCACATCAAGATCACAGTGAGGGGCGTGGCTGAAGGTAGGCGCGGCCTGGGGCGGGGCGCCGGGCACTTAACCCCACTGTGCAGGGCCGCGTTGCATGCTGTCCGTCAACCGGCTGCAGTTTGGTGGGCGGGGCGAGCGCAAAGTCGAGCTGCGCAACGCTTCGCCGACGTCAGCCCGCTTCCAGATCCATCACCCAGAGGGCGATGCTTTCCAGGTGCGTCCGCTGGAGGGCGTGGTGGCGCCGCATGGCTACGCGTTTTTGAGCGTGCGCTTCTCTCCGCCGCGAGGGGGCGTGTTCGTGCGCAAGATCTTCTGTCTGGTGTGGAACTGCGTGAGTTTGCGCAGCTGCTGCGCTGCTTCAGCGCCATCTACTGCTCGCTTCCCCACTAGGAGCCCCTGATGCTGCACCTAGCGGGTGGGGAAGGGGTGGGGCCCAGCCCCACCCCGATCGACGAGCTGTGCGGCTTCGCCGCCTACTTCGAGGAGGGGGCAGTGACGGTGGAGCCGCCCAGTTTTGACGTGGGCTTTGCCCCCACTCCCAGCACTTTGCTGGCGAACATCAGCAACCAGAGCGCGAAAACAGTGCAGGTGGACTGGCGCCAGCAGACAGGGGGGCGGGTGGTGGTGGCGCCGCCCACTGTGGAAGTGCCGCCCCTTGGCCGCCAGCAGATCCAACTGCAGCTGGCCGCTGCCGCCCCCTATGGCCTGCTGCACGAAACCCTGCTGGGGCAGGTGGACGCCGCCACTTGCCTGTCTTTATATGTGCAAGGTTTACCACCGCCCTCACTCCCCCCACCACAGCTTCAATCAGGCTCCTCCCTTTGATGTTGCAGCCCACTCCTTCCCAGCCAATCAGCAGTGGATCAGTCACGTGCAGCTGTTGCCCGAGACAGTTTATTGGCCGCCGTGTGCGCCTGGCGACGTTGCCAACACCACGTTTCTAATGCGCAACCGCAGCCACCTGCCCGTGCAGTTCCGGCTGGAGTCGCCCAAGGCGACCAACATCAGGGTGAAGCCCCGCATGGGCGTGTTCCGGCACTGGCAGATCGTGGCAGTCCGGCTGCAGACCGAGCAGGGCGCGGCCAAGGCCTACATGGAGGCGTGGCAAGTGGTGGTGAATGGGCGGGCGCTCCCCCTCTACTTCCACGGGCTGACGTGCGTGCCTCGCGTCGAAATAGGGCGGGGCAACCGCATCGACGCCGGCGCCGTACAGGACGGCTCCCAGAAGGAGGTGGAGGTGCCGATGAGAAACTCCTCCCTCTGCCCGGTGGACTTTCAGTTCCAACTGGGCAAGATGGTGGGCGTGGCGCCGATGACGGGCCGCCTGCCGCCCAATGAGACGCTGACGCTGGTTGTCAAGGTGACGGGCAGCCAATGCGCGCCCAGCACCGAACGCTTCCACTGCCTGCTGCGCATTGTGGACGCCAGTGGCGCCGTCACCGGCCACAGCCACGACCTGCCCGTGGACATTGTTGCCGAGTGCTCGTATTCCCAGCTTTGCGTAAGCCAATCCTTCTCAGACTTTAACCCGATTTTCGCTGGTTGTTCCTGCAGGCCTGCCCCAGTTCGGAGGACTTTGGTCGGGTGCCCTTCGGGCACCGCCTGAAATGTCAGTTTGACGCGTCCAACTTCGGCAACACCGCCGTCTACTTCCAGGCCTGTCAGAGTGGCGAGGACAAAAACATCCACATCAGGCCCAGCTTTGGCGAGGTGAAGGCGCGCGAGAGTCAGCGCTTCATGGTGGGCGGCGTCGCCTCCATAGTGGGCGGAGCCACGCTGAGCTTCGGCTACTACAACAGGCTGGTGAAGGACTCGCCCTTGGTTACCGGCACGCCCACCGCGCTGTTTACACTTCGCTATGAGGCCGAGTTTCCGATCGTGCAGATAGAGGGAGTGGTGGAGCACAACTTTGGCGCCCTCTTCGCCAGGCGCGACCTCTACGAGGCGTACTTGGGCGTGGCCGCGCTAAACCACGCCCTCCGCCACGTTGCCAACGACCAAACGTTGGAGCATCGATCGCGATTGCCCGAGCTGCCAGTCGACGGGGAGCAGGAGTTCTGGGCGCGGCTGACGCTTGGAAATGTCAGCGACTTTGACACCGACGTGACCCTCAAGCGGCTCAAGCTGTGCGACTGCACCATGCAGGAAATCAGCGGCGGCCTGTCGAAGCGTGGGCGGGGCTTCCAGTGCCCGCATCGCCCCGCCCTCAGCATCACGCCCCTGGCGCTCAGCCTGCCGGTAACCACGCCCCCTCCGGCCTAGCGCCCCGCCCATTTAACCTGCACTGTTGCAGGCCGGCGCCAGCAAAGTGGTGAACATTGTGGTCAAGTACGGGGTGGCAGGGGCCACGCCCCTGGGCTTCGCCCTCCGGCTGAGCAACAACCGCACGGTTTTGTGGCACTTTGAGGTGTACGGGGTGGACCCGGATGAGCCACGCCTCTCCACCTACACGCCCACCTTCCGCATGGAGCTGGCGCCGGTTTCGCTGGGCGACCACCTGCCGCCCCTGCAGTGCTTCTGGCTGTACAACTGCAGTGGGCGGGCGATCCGTTGGCAGGTGGACGGCAGCGCCCTCCAGTGGCTGCTGGTCGTTAACCCTGTCGACGAGATCCAGCCGCAGACGCGCAAGCCCTTGCTCGGTGAGTGACAGTTGACAGCTGACGTTCATGTGACAGCACGAGAGTTCCGCAGTCAAGTTCCAGCCAGTGGAGACCCAAATGTACTCAGGCGAGCTGGCGCTCAGCTACGGCTTCGCCGATGGCCCAGAGGGGGCGCTGGTTGSTGCGCTGCAGCTGCAGGGCCGGGGGTTGGGTGGGGGGGCGCGCCCCCCCACGCCGGTAGCCCCGCCCTGCGCCAGCAGGCTGGGCAGCACCTTTCCCGCCAGTCTCTCGGCTGATTGGCTGGCGCCGCCCCCACTCCCCACCTGGGGCAGCCACGCCCAGTTGGTCTTCGTGAAAAACACCGCGCGCAATCAAGTGGTCCAGTACACGTGGAGGGAGTAAGTCGATCAAAGCGAGCGTCCACCGGCTACAGTTGCGCTGTTTAGCGTGCGCATCGAGGGGGCGCTGGAAGTGCGCGTGGAGCCCCCTAGCGGCCTGCTGCTGCCCAAGGAGATCCACCCGCTGGTGGTGGAGGTGCGCACGTTGGCCACGCCCTGCGTGGCCACCGTGCTGTTGCCATGCCAACTGGTGCAGTACTCGGATGCGCTGTTGCACCAGCTGACCGCGGAGCGCCATCAGGCGGCGCAGCGCCGAATCGACGAGTTCATGCTGGACGAGCCGTCAGGCGCCAAACGGCCGGTGAGTATTAGCGGGGACGCAAACCCTGTTCCACTGGGGGCTCTGTTGCAGGCCAATCCGATTCGGGTGGTTCCCGATCCGCCCGTTTTGTTTGCCTCGCTGGCCGTAGATGTCGCCTCCATGCACCCGAAGGACTTTGCCGGCAGGCCGTGGGACGAGCAGGCGCTGCACCCTCCAGAGCCTGCTCTGAGGGAGGGGCGACCGCCGGCCGCCCCCACCCCGGTGGAGGCGGCAGTGTTCAGCCGGGTGCTGGAGGAGGGACTGGCGTAAGCGATGCTGCCGCTCTAGGCGCCAATCGGCTAATAATAAGTCCGCTACAGCCAGGTGGTGTTTGGGCAGAAAATGCGCAGTCTCCTGCTGGGGGCGGCGCGCGCCCCCCACTGCTTCTACAGCCAGTTCACGGCGACCAATCAGGAGCAGCGGGCGCGGGAAGTTGGGCGTTTCCTCCGCCAGCCCAGCCCGCCTCTGATGGGGCGCCTTCTGCGCCGCCTGATCCATCAGGGCCTGTGCGCAGCCCGATGCCCCGCCCCTCAGCCGACGCCGCCCAACCTTCGGCAGTCCATAGTGGGCGCGCGCTACACTTGCCGCAACCAGCAGTGCGCCTGCCGCCCACCCGACACCCACTCCCTGCTTAATTAGTGGATGCGTTGGCAACGCCGCCGCGCCCAGGCGTTGCCCACCTTAGATTAGATAGTGCACAGGTAAATAAACGCCAGTGCGATGGCCAGGGACCGGCTGCAGGAGCTCAGACAGAAAGTGAGTTTTGGAGGTTAAGTGCGATTGATTTTCCACTCGAAAAAACCCCTGCAGGCAACCAACCAACAGGCCAATGGGGCGGCGCCCAGCGACGAAGAAGCCCAGCCCTTGACGGCGCCTGATTTGCTGGCAACGCTGGAATGGGCGGAGGTGCTGCGCCAATGGGTGGAGACTATCGAGGAGAACGTGGGCGCCCTCAGGGCGCACCTGCGCCAAGTCGAGGACTTCAACACTGATCAGCGAGGTGGGTGAGTGGGTGAGTGGGGCGACGGAGGGTTTTGAGGCAGACGACTGGTTGCAGCGCTCAACGAGAAGATCGACGCCCTCTTCCAGGCCAATGCGAGCGTTGCGCAGCGCGTGCACGCGAAGCTGCGCAGCTTCGAGGCGCAGCTGGGCGACGCGCGGTCGGCGGCCGGGCGCATCCAGCACATCCAATACAACACGCTGAAGGCGCGCTTCCAGACGGCCTTTGCGCAAAGCAACGCGCAGCTGGAGCAGCTGCGCCACGTGAAGAAGGCGCAACTGGAGGCGCAGCTGCGCGCCAAGGGCGTGCGCATCTCGGAGGCGGAGCTCGATCAGCTGCTCCACGAGGGCGGCGACCTGCAGGTCTTCACTGAAAACGTCCGTGACCCTCTCCACTCCCGATGAGTCGCGATGATTTTGAACTTCTGCCTGCAGATTCTGGCGGAAACTGCCGAGGCCAAGCGGGTGCTGCAGGACCTGGAGGATCGCCATCAGCAGCTGCTGAAGATCGAGCGCATGCTGGCCGACGTCCGCGATCTGTTCCTGCAGATGGCGATCCTGATCGACGACCAGCAGGAGGTGATCGATCGGGTCGAGTACCAGGCGGAGTTGGCGCAGGACTTTGTGGGCCGGGGGCGGGACGACCTGAAAAAGGGGCGGGACAAGCGCAGCAAGTACCTCAAGGTGGGCGTGGTGGGGGGTGGGCGGCTCGAGCTAACGCGCCGATTGGTTGCAGACGAAAATCATCGTGATCGTCGCCCTGGTGCTGCTCACCATCATCATTCTGGCGCTGATCTTCAAGTGACTGGCCGGTTTTGTTCAGAATCAATCACGTTTTATTAAAATTAAATAAAAATCATCGTAATCGCACGCACAAATCAATGGGATTGCACGAAAATGGCCGCCGCCCCCCTGTGGGGGCGGCACACTTAATACAAAATCTACACATATCAACACACACACACCTCTCATAAGCGCTTCAGCGTGCGCTTCTTCTCCTTGAGGACCTTCTTCTTGTCGGCGGCCAGCTTCTTGTCGGTGGCCGCCTTTTTGGCCTGCGGCCCCTCGGGGGCGCACGCTTTGCTCTTGTGGGGCTGCGCATGGATTTCGGTCATCATTTTCGCCCGCTGGAAATAGTCGTCGTAGTGCTCCAGCAGCAGTTTGCCCGCCTCCTCATTGAGCGCCGACTCCGGATTGGGCACGATCAGCAGACACTTGATGGTCTGGACCAATGGGGGAACTGTTAGCTCTAGGCCACGCCCTCTTGGGCCTCCCACTCACCAGCAGGATGTGTTTGAGTCCGAGATCCGACTTCCAGTCCCTCTTCAGCGTGTTGACGCAGATCTCCCCGTTGGGCGCCACATTCGGGTGGAAAATCTTGGTGAAAAAGTAGGCTTTGGGGGGCTCCGTCGGGAATCCTTTGCCGAGTGACAGCTTGACGCGGAACATGCCCCCGCTGTAGGGGGTACCTGCAACGCACCGGCCGCCGCTGTTTAACCACACGCCCCCTTAATCGGCTCGAACCGCTTACCTGCGGGGCCCTCAACCATTGCCTGGATGTCAGTGATGTCCTCCTCGTTCACCTGCACCTTGATGCCCTCCGGGGGGCTGTTGGCCAGCTCTTGCATCTCGCGCGCCACCATTCGGATCGTTTGCGGCGACAAATTCTCCACGTTGTTCGACATCTGAAAGGGCGCATTTAATGGGGCGTCACTGGGGGGCTCAGCCCCACCCGGCTACTTACATTACCGGCCATCATCGTCAGGGCGCAGCCTCTCAGCAGCCGATCTTTTCCATAACAAAAAAAGCGAACGTTTGTTTGGCGAATGGCGTGACAAGTGACAGGGTGGCGCGGGTGAACTGTGGATGACCGACTGCTGGGGTTTGACAACGCTGTCGCATGTTTGCTCGTTTTTTTTTTTTTAAGGAAAAAACTGGGGCAAATATTAAGAAAAATAGCGACGAAACACGAACCTGGACTAATTAAGTACATGAGTACATGAAAAATTGCTTCGAGCGAAAATGCCGATTTGGAGCCGCGCCCGATTGGCGATTTGCGCGGTGTCGGCAACGCCGTCACCAGTCCCACAGATTACAGAGCGAGCACCTCTGTGATCTGTGCACTGTCCTAACCTATCTGCGGACACCAGTTGAGCGTTGTGTTTTGCGTTGCGCTAGCAACAATGTCTTCGGAGAATTCGAGGGCCCCCGAGCCCAAGGGGCGCGGCGCCATCCTGCAGGCGCTGTTCGAGCGCAAAAAGCGGGAGCGCGAGGCCATGCTGCACGGCGTCGGCGTGAGTGGCCAGGAGCCCAAAGCCCCGCGGGTAAGTCCTAACCCCATTTCCCGACCGTTCCCGCTTGAGATGGGTTTCAGGGCAGGGCGGCGCTGCTGGAGAAGATCCGCATGAAAAGCTTGGCCCCTGTGGGGGGCGAGCCGGCGGCTGCGACCCCTACTGTCGAGCATGTGACGCAGAGCCTAGCCGCTGTGGAACTGGAGGAGGCGCCCCAAGTCACCCACTATCGAGGTAAGACTGTGGAGCCCTGCCAGGGCTAATTAGTAGGTTCTGGTGGTTTGTAGGCGCCAGCGGGAAGCCAATTGATCTATCGGTGAACTACATACGACTGAAGGTGCAGCCCGGCCAGGGGGTGTTCGAGTACGAGGTGGCGTTCAGCCCCGATGTGGACGCCAAAAACAACCGAATTCGCCTGGTTAATCAGATACTGGAGGGCGCCAGTCGCGCCAAAGTGTTCGACGGGGGCGCCTGCCTCTACCTGCCGAACAACGCGCGGGGGGCGCAGGCCCAATTCCAGGCGAAGATGCCGGACGACGCCACCGATGTGACCGTCACCATCACCTACAAGCGGCAGAAGAGTCTGGGCGATCGCGAGTGTCTGCACCTGTACAACGTGCTGTTCAAGCGCATCATGCATCTGCTGCTCTACGTGCAGATCGGGCACAACTACTTCGATCCGCAGCACCGCGAGCTGATCCCGCAGCGGAAGCTGGAAGTTTATCCGGGCTTTGTGGTGGCGGTGGACGAGCTGGAGGACGGCCTGATGCTCTGTCTGGACACGCAGCACCGCGTGCTGCGCACAGAGAACGCCTACGAGCTGCTCAATGAGCTGAAGTGCGTCAGCAGCCCGGCGCACTTCAAGGAGGCGGCGCTGCGCAACCTGCTGGGCTCGCTCGTGCTCACCAAGTACAACAACAAGTCCTACATCATCGACGACATCCTCTGGGACATGACTCCGAGGGACACCTTCCCGACCAGCGATGGCAGGTGAGTGCGGGAATTTGCCCCCCATCTGGCAGCACTGCAATTTGTTCTTCGAGTTCGCAGGGAAATCAGCTTCATGGAGTACTACAAGATGATGTACAAGATCACCATCGCCGACCCCAGCCAGCCGCTGCTGCTGCACCGCAGGCGGCTGAAGAAGAACACGCCCCCCGAACTGGAGGGGCGCATGGTGTGCCTGATCCCCGAGCTGTGCACCCTCACGGGGCTGACCGACGCGATGCGCAACGATTTCCGCGTGATGAAAGACGTGGCGCTGCACACGCGCGTCACGCCGCAGCAGCGCGCTCTCGCGCTGCGCACCTACTTGCGGAACGTGCGCAGCAATGAGCGCGTGCAGCAGATCCTGGGCGATTGGGGGCTGCGCCTGGCCGACGACAATCTGCCGCTCAGTGGGCGCCAGCTCGAGATGGAGCAGATCGTGTTCGGCAGCCAGCAGATGCGGCCGGCGGGCGCCGGGGCCGACTGGGGCCGCACGATGACCAACTGCGAGGTGACCGGCCCCATGGACCTGCTCAACTGGGTGCTGTTCTACACCAGTCAGGACGCCAAGATGGCGCAGGAGTTCGCCGCCCATATGACGCGGCTCGCCCCCTCGCTGGGCTACCATATCGGGGCGCCGCGCATGGAGAGGCTGCCCAACGACAACACCGCCACCTACGTGTCGGCCATCCGCACGAAAATCGACACTTCTGTGCAGGTATGTGGAGCGCCGCCCAAACCGGTTGACCTGGAGAACCTTTCTGCGCAGGCCGCGGTGTTCATCTGCCCGTCGATGCGCAGCGACCGCTACGCCGTCATCAAGAAGCTGTGCTCCACCGACGTGCCAGTGGCGTCGCAGGTGATCAACTCGCGCACGCTGTCGCGCCCCGACAAGGCGCGCTCCATCATCCTGAAGATCGCGCTGCAGATCAACTGCAAGCTGGGCGGCACGCTGTGGACCGTCAAGTTTCCGTTCCGCGGCTGGATGATTTGCGGCATTGACGTGTACCATGGGGGCGTCAACCAGCCGTCTGTGTGCGGGTTTGTGAGCAGCCTGAACGAGAGTATCACGCGGTAGGGGGCGCGCCACTCTCCATCTAGCCCGGCTGTAAAACTTCTCGATTGCAGCTGGTACTCGACGGCCACCTTCCAGGGGCAGGAGCTGGGCGACTTCTACCCGCGCGCCTTCGCCAAGGGCCTGGAGCAGTTCCGGAACCAGAGCGGCGCCTACCCGAGCAAAGTGGTGGTGATCCGGGACGGAGCGGGCGACGGCCAGCTGGACTACGTCAAGCGCTACGAGATCAAGCAGTTCGAGGACGTTTTGAAGCGGTTCGAGCTGGACATCCCCATCTGCTTCGTGGTGGTGCAGAAGCGGATCAGCAGTCGGCTCTTCCATCGCGCCCCCAGTGAGTCCAGCGCCACCGCTGGGTGGTTCCCAGCAGTGCAAAGCGTTTGCAAAACTCCTTTTTTTCAGGTGGGCAGCTGCAGAACCCGCCGCCCGGGACGGTTTTGGACCACACAATCACGCGCAGGCACCTGTACGACTTCTTCATGGTGCCGCAGAGCGTGCGCGAAGGCACCGTCAACCCCACCCACTACATAGGTAAGCCACGCCCCCAACTCAGCCCACTTGGCCAATTGGTGAATTGTTGCAGTGCTGCACGACACGTGCCGGCTGAAGCCCGACCACGTGCAGCGGCTGTGCTACAAACTGTGCCATCTCTACTACAATTGGCCGGGGACGATCCGCGTGCCGGCGCCCTGCCAGTACGCGCACAAGCTGGCCGCCATGGTGGGGCAGCAGCTCAAGACCGAGCCGAGCCCGGCGCTGGCCGACCGACTGTGGTACCTGTGAGGGGCCAATCCAAACCACTAGGCTTACGAAACAATGTTTTACGTTCAAATTAGGTTAACGATGCGAAATATACAGTTAAGTTGCTAACGCTAGCGGGTGACTGGGCAGGGTGGGCGGGCCG